ATGATTTTCATCTTAACTTTATATTCTTGGCCAAGTTAGAATCCCAGTGCCTTAATTTCCCTATTGAGTAGGTAAAATAGCTCACAGGAAATACTTGAACATCAATATAAAATTCTAGTGTTGTAGCTTCAGAAATGTAGTGTTTGAGGCTCTCTAATTTTTAAAAATTATTAATAGTTTCGTGGAAATATTTTTACTGTTCAGGCATTTGTAGGGCTTCCTAGAATATGGACAAAATATCCCTAAATTTTAAATAAATGTTAGATAAAGAACCAACATGTGTCTGTTTATCTTATTGCATGTTACAAGAGATTTCCTTGCAGAATTTTTTTTTTAGGCTTGGGATAAGAATTGGTGGCTAAATATCTGCACTCCTGACACAATCTCAAGGGTTCTTGTAAAAATTGCTCTTCTGAACGGTGTAAGGTACTTGGAGAGTCTCTAAAAATCTTTCAAGAAGACAACAGGTTGAGAATAGTGGTTCCCACTCAGATGTAGAGTAGGAAACAGCAAATTTGATGTAGATGTAACAAACACCCATTTTTGTTCTTTATTGCTTCTAGGCTCAGAAACTATTTCTAGAATTCTTCTCCACAAAGAAGCTGTTCCAGGGTTCCCTTTAGAAATAGTTATAGCCAAAGACAATGAATTCCTGCTGTTTCAAGCCTTCTTCCTTTGGAGAACATTAAGGTATTTCTTTGATTCCTCAGCTGATTCAATACAAGATGAGATGGAATTTCAGGGTAATCCTGTAAGCAGTGTGTCACTGAATTTTCCCTCACCCAAACCCCACCTTTATGCAAGTATTTCCTCATTCTCCTAAATGAAGAAATCTAAGACCATTTCTGTCCTTTGAAAGAGGCCTACTGACACATCTCTACCCAGCCAGTTTAAAGGGAGTCAATTTTCTTTGCTCCAGGCAGCAGGTGTCATGTATAGCGATGCAGGAGGGCCTCCAGAAGTCTTAGCAGGACCTCCATTCAGCTGAACCTTGTTCACCAAACTCCCCAAGGACAAGGGATCACCATCGTCTTTCTGGAAAGGCATGTACCGTGGCACATAAGATTTCAGTGTCATACCCACTGTAAGACAGGAGCACACCATTGTAGGGTTGAAGGGAAAATCTTCTGGTCTTCAGGCCGAGACCTAGCAGATACTGTCTATATTCAAAGCATCGTTAGGTAGATTAGAGGAAAGTATGGCTAATAACAATCCTTGATGGATGAATTTCAAGATGCTCTAATTTTTAGACAAACAGAACACATGTTTATTTTCATTAATACTTCCTCGAGCTTCTTTATTTGCATGAGAAACAGTCGTACCATGATACCACGATTCTAAATTCTTTTAAAATCACCTCTTCTCTCACCGAGAACTTCCTTACATAAAAACTATGTTAACCATCTACCAGCTCTTGGCCATGATTCTTTAAAGACTGTAAATGTAGTGTTGGTGGAAAGTCCTTTAATACAGGATGGTGTCAAACATGTCTGTCTTTGGAGTTAATTGTTTAGAATAAGAAAAATTGAATTTCTTTTTTTCTCAAAAAATTGCCCTGACAGTAACAGAACCAGTTCTGAGATAATATATTAATAGGCGGGAAGCGAACTGTCAGATAGGTTTAAAAATAATAGCAGATTATTTTGCTAGATAATTCTAGATTCTAGATTATCTAGATAATAGCTAGGTCATTTCTACATAGCTCATAGATCATATATATATTTGTAACATTGTTCTCACAGAAATCTAACTGCTTTAGAGATGGTCTCACCTGGTAGGAAACCAAGCACTGAAATGCTGGGGGAAATGAAAGGCAGTAGCATGGAATGTTTGGCTTTACGTGAAATTCTGGGAGACAGCTGCCTGTAAAGGTGTCTGTTACAAATCAGCAGTTACCCCAGTGACGCAGGATAACAGCAGTAAAGACTCAAGAAGCGTACGTCACTACCCCCAAAAGGTTTTTAAAATTGGCTCCAGTTGGTCTGAGTAGGAAAATGATAGTTATGTAAATGTAATAAAATGAAAAACCAAGAGTTAAAATGCTCTTTTTAAACAAGTAGTAGACTTTTATATATATCACAGTGAATATGGTTACAGTCCACTAATCTGTTTTTTTTTTTTTCCCCCACTTAATCTGTTGGAGGGGAATTGAATGGTTCCAGAGTAAACTGGCGATTTGCATGAATAAGTGGTTTTGTTGAACATCTGTGTTTCAATATGCAATACTGAGAGTGAATGAATGCTCCGAAATGAATCTGCTTCTTAATTTTTTCCATCTAATATAGGACGTGAGTGGATGAGAAAATACTGTGGAGACACAAAATAATTTTTTTGCTTCTTACACATTATGCCGTTGTCTGAGGCCTGGAAGGCACCCAGTAGGACTAAGACTTGTACCTAAAATATTTAACACGCACATTGTGGGACCAGCATATCCTGAACAGCCCTTTTATGCATTTTTTCATTTGTTCAAATCAAGAAAGCTGTTATGCTGAATGTTTTAGGAAACATACTGAACATACTTCCTCTCGTAGAAAAATACGTTTCAGGTGTACATCTGTAACATACCTAGCCAATAAAGCCTTTTGGATAAAATATAGGACTGGAGCTGTGCAAGTCAGTGCGGTGGCTCTGATCGTCAGACGATCCAGTCCATTTCTTTCATTTACTTTCTAGCCATACAACCCTAATCCTATGCATTAATCTTAGTAACACACACATCACTCTTGAGAATTTAGAGGTGGAAGATCATCTTTGTGAAAGTTGGACAACACATTCCCTTAATAAATCTCTAAAAGTCAGCAAAATTCTATACCACCCTGTGATTACTCTGCAATTTGTAAGTGTCAGTTTAATCTACTTTCAATATATTTTTCCATGATACATTTTCTGAAGGCAGAAGCTTCTGGTAAACTTCACATCTGAAATGTCTGTAAAGAGTACAAGATTTTGGTCTGTGTAGATGCCCTTGATGTTTCTTTACCTGTAAGCCATCCACTGTCACAGTGCATGGGGAGTTCAGAATCCATCCCTAATCCTTGGTCTGATAACTCTCTAGTCCATCAAACTGTCTCCTCCCTGGGATGACCTGTGTCTTCTGCTGTCTCTTGCTCTTAAATTTGCGGTTAGAATAATTTCACCAAAACATCAGCCGTCTCATGGCTGAGCGCTGGAATAGAATCATTGGTTTGGGTGGCTAATAAGAGTAATGATAAAAGAAAAACTAGTAAGTCCAGAACTGAAGGTGTTGACAGTAAATTTTAAGAGAATAAGAGAATACCATACCTAATTCATCTTAAAACTTGCCTGAACTTCTAACTACTTTTTGACGTTTATCCGTCAGAAAGAATACTTGGTCATTGAAGGAAATTAGAAATTTTATAGCAGTGGAAAGTTTATATAAAAATTTCAGGAAGATGTTCTTCCAACATATGTTGTAATAAAAATAGAGTATGTGCTGTAGCCACTTCATACATATTTTAACTGGGAGAATGCTGATCCAAGCATCTCTTTAATAAGTCATCATTGCCTACTACCTGTGAAGAGTTGAATCATTGTCCCCTTTTAGCAGGTGGATAAAAATTTTAGAACTCTTGATCTTAGCAGTGACAGCTAAAACACCTATTTTGGTCTCTCTTCCATGGTAACAGGGGATGAAATTTGAGAAGACAGTGTGGACTAATGGATAGAGTGTTGGACAGGAGGTCAGGAAGCTCTGTTCTGTTCTATTCCCAGCCTGCTACTGGGTTGCTATGTAAACTCAGATAAGCCAGTTCCCCTCTCTGCACCTCATATTTTCCGTCGGTAAAAATGTAGGTAGAGACTTTCTGTACTTAGCTCCTTCCCAAAGATACTGTGAGAAACAGCTTACTTGGAAGACATTCATAGTATCTTTTGGTTGAAAAGATGCTATATAAATCTGTCAGTGTCCCTGTGCCCTTTGACAGCACTGTTCCCACAAGTGGCATTTATATAAACTCACTCTTACGGATGCACTGGGAGGGAGGTACCATCCTAGCAGACTTTGCCTTTCGTAGAAGCTGGGAGTGTGACTCTGGAGTCAGGCTGCCTGGGTTTGAATTTCGGGCCCACCATTTAGTAATGCTATAACCATGGGCAGGTTGGTCTACTAGATTTCCTCATCCATAAAGCGGACATGATGGCAGCACCCCCCTCATTAGAGTGTGGGAGCATTTGTGAATAGCACTGTAAACATTCCCCACACACCTAATACAATTCATATAAGTACGTGCGGTTACTGTCCTTACCCAGAGCAATTCTTCATCAGCATGGCAGGGGCCACAACAGGGGGAGTACAGTGTCCCCTCTGGTTCTGGCTGCTTGGTGGCTCCCTTCCCAGCTGGCCACCAGGCTCTTCCTCTGCACACTTGCATCTCCCCTCGCCACTCCCACAGCCTCTGGGCCCCGAGGGTAAGCTCTCCTAGTCATTGCCATCTGTCAGATCATCTATTACAAGTGAGGGAGTGCCACGTAAAAGATAAAAGAAATCCAGGTGTTTTAATCTGGTCTCTAAAATTGATGTATTAATTTGAAAAAGAAATGCTAGCGGATTTCAGAAGTATTGCAGCATGGGGGGGGTGAGATCATTGACAGTTGACAGCTGTGTCATGATTATTAGGAGAAATAAACTCAGAAAACATCAGGCAGAAATAGATCAGTTAATTTAAATGGAGTTCATTGGAACCTCTCATCTACTTTCAGTGGTAATGACCATCGAGAAGAATTGTGGGAGGGACCAAGATACGTATCAATTCCTTAAACACGAAGAAGTAGAACATTCATATTTTTAAAAATCTGAATGAAAATATTTCTGTTTCAGGGGTTAAGTATATTACTAGAGTATAAAAGTTTGGGATTTGATGAAAATTATTGATTAGATTTTCATAAGCCACTGTGGTGTGGGGTTTCAAAGATTGAATAGCCTCTGAGAGGTAATCATATGTTCCATTGATTCTTTGTTTTTTTCTTTTTATTATTAGAACCAACCTACATCACAATTGATCCACCTGCGTGTGGGGAGTTATCAAACTGCACTCTGACAGAGAAGGACTGCGTGTATGGTTTCAAACTTGATCACAATGGCTGTCGAACTTGTCAGTGCAAAAACAGTGAGTAGACAGAAGACTGTATTTTTTTTTCCTAAGCCCTAATACTATGTTGTCAAAGCATATTATGTGATTGAATATCTTCTCACTCCCGTTCAGACATTCCCTTGACAACCTGAAAGGAAGGGGGAGAAAGTCATACTTACATAAACAAATACATTTGGGGGAAAAGAGCTGCTGCTTTATTCTGGTTTTGTCTTTGTTACATTGTATTCACGTGCCCTGTGCTGTCCAGGTTGCATCAGGAGTGCAACCTGGAGCAGGCCTCAAGTGCATCCTTCTGGCCACCCAGAAGCCTCTCCCTCCAGTCCCCGTACTGGGGTCATCTGGTGACAAGGAGGCCACTCGTAATGCGGTGTCGCATGCTGACCTACGGCAGCCGCAATCCTTACCCTGTGCTTCACTTTGTTCACCCCAGCTCTGCCTCCATGTAGATTCCAATCACATCCGCAGGCCATGACCTCTGAAATGAGATAGAGTAGATTGCCTTTCTTCCAGGAAAGAAAAAAAGCTCCTACATACATAAAACTATTTTGAATTCTCCTAATTCTTCTACCAAAATAAATATCCTCAGTCTCCTTGGCCATTCCTCAGGTGACACGAATTTGCGTGATCTTTTCTGTCTTCTAATGAAGATTACATCATTGTTCTTACCTAAAGGGTGGCCCAGAAACAAAAGAAATACCCCAGAGTTTGGTCTAATCATTGCAGTGATTACCACGGCCTGAGTTTGCTTTGGCTCATTGAACTACACACACAGGTGAGATGGTTCTCACCTGTTCTGTTTTTGAACATTCATTTTGACTTCTTTTTGTTGAGGCAAAATATACGTATGTAATTTATCATCTTTATCATTTTAAGTATACTATTCAGTAATACGGTTTTTTAATGATTCAGTGCAGAGCCACACTTAAAAAGATATTATCTTGATGGTTTTGAACCATTTTCTGTCTACTTGGGATGCTTTTGAATCTTGATAATGTGATCTTAGACTTTTTGCCTTTCAACTTGTATTAAATAAAGCACAACTTATGTGGCCTCATCTAAATCATTGGGTTAAAATAAATTAAACTACAGAGCCAAGGGCAGAGATGTGTAAGACTGGAGACCTGCCTGCCAAATGACTTTGAACATGATCGTCGCTCCTTGAGTGGAGTTAGCCAGCTAACAACACCTCAGCTCCATCTCCACAAGGCTCATAGCTTGTCTGGAATCAAAGTATATCCGATAGCATTCCTTTGCTGTATTTTACAGTAAACTGACATTAGTGGGGCCCAGCTTGTTTTCTCCTGAACTTATGTTAGCTCCTACTGGTCAGTGCTTTTTTTCCCCTACATGTCATAAATCATATATTTTTAACAATTCTTTCTCAAGAATTTTCAGGGGTGAATGTCAAGTTGTGTAGTTTCTGAGAATTTTTCATCCCTTCTGAATTGACATTTGGCCTCTTTTCTGAAATCTCTTCCATTGTCTTCGATCTCTCCCAAACGTAGACAGTGGCTCTGGAATAAGCAGGCTTTCTGTGGGCCTCTGGGTCTTATTACCTGGACTCAAAGGCCTGGATGTCATAGAGATAGATGATCACTTTCTGATTTATCAGTTAATCTTGGGCTTTACGGTCTTTATAACCTTGTAAAAATGTTTTCAAGAAGAGGATACAAAGTAGGAGTTAAGTAGTTCAGTTTTCTCAGTTATACGATACCATCATGCAGTCTGCTCAGTGGAGTTAGTGCTAAAAATAGAATTTATGAAGCTGTTGTTGTGCTTGTAATTATTGCTATCTTTAAATTTTCTGCAAGCCTCTACCCACCTAGGGCTGTCCTGCCTTCCTATACTTGATTCTGTTCAGGGAAGGTTCAGTCCCGGTTACTCATTGGTCTAAGTTTGCTCAGTTTTAACTCTAGAGAGTTGCCTTGGCAGCCCACATTTGTTTACTCAAATGACCGACTTTGTTTTTTTAACATCAAGATAAATTGGCAATGATGTTATGAAGAGTTTATAATTCAGTCTTTCCAATGCCTCTTGAGTTACACAGCCTTTCTGAGCATGAGATCATACCTACCTTTTTTCTGAACTTTAAAAAAAAATCTAAAAATACAGATTTTATTGTGGCAACTCACTTCATTCGCCACCTTCACCTGGTTATGCTTTTATGAACTTGTGGCCGCCTTGCCCTGTTTATATAAGACTCTGGTCACTTCACAAAGACTCTTTCATCATGAAGTTCAAAGAAGCAATTTCTCTTAACTGTCCTTGAAATGAGCCAAAAAACTAACGTATCTACTGGCTTTTAGAAAGTTGAGGCTACTAGGAAGACCCTCATCGCCTCTCTAAGTTAGAGTTGTACTCTTTAAGCAATCTTAAATAAGTTGGCTTTTTTAAAGGAACATATTTGTATGCTACCCAGGTGCATCTCCTTTTTATTTACAATCAGAGAGAAATGTGTACAGTGCACATATTCGTGTAAGTGATTTAATCCTTATTAGCCATTTATTATTGGCAAATTTTACACATGTGTAGATATATCTGGTTCTGCTTTCCTCTTCCCTCCCTTCTTTCTTCACCTAATATTTTAAAAATACCTGCCAAGTTTTAGGTACTATACTAGATGTTCAAGAGACAAAAATGAACAAAATGTAAGACCTGCTTGGAGAAAAAAAAAAAAATCTATAGCTGAAGCACTAATGAAATAGCACCATTTTAAGCCAAATGCTATATAACTTACAAAAATAAATCCTGTTAAGACAAAGATTCAGTTCTTAGAAGAACCAAGGCTTGTGCCTATCACCAGAGCAAGGAAATAACTGCCCATCCGCCAGGGCCATGCCTGGAGCTCAGCAGATAGCAGCTGAGTGGTTGAACAGGGACCTTCGTGATCAGGGATGCCTTTGGACATCATTCCTGTCTAAGATCTTGCCGTTCTGATCTTATGTCCATCTCACCACACGAAGTTTCTTGACCTCAGTTAGTCTGGCCATCTTGCTCACTGCCACCCTATACCTGAAAGCATAATCAAATACTAATTGGTCAGTTTGTCTATAGCATACCAGCATCTCAGCCACATAGCTTTCTACTTTTACCCACTCCTGTTGGCAGTCCTGATTATTTGACAACTTTGGAAGCCATACCCTTGGGAAGTGAGTTAGAGCAAACCAAATTGCCAGAGCCTGGGTTGTCAGATTCTTGTGGTTGAATGCAGCTGTCCTCCACAGGCTCTCACCTGCGTTTGAGAGCTAAAGGCAAGTTGTTTTCCTTCTCTGGGCCTCTGTGTCCTCATCTGTAAAGGGCAGATCATAGTACCCAATTCACGAGTTATTTTGAGGACCTAATAAATGAATGAATACAAAGCTAATTTCACTGCCTGACAAGTGGTCACTGTTCACTGTGTACTGTGCCTGTTTTATAACATCTTTTTTGTGAGTCAGCCCAAGCTGCCCAACAGGAAGACTCTATCATCCCTCCCCTCATCCACACACTAGACTCCGTCATCCCTCCCCTCCTCCACACACTAGAGTCCATCACCCCTCCCCTCCTCCGCACACTAGAGTCCATCATCCCTCCCCTCCTCCGCACACTAGACTCCGTCATCCCTCCCCTCCTCTGCACACTAGAGTCCATCACCCCTCCCTCCTCTGCACACTAGACTCCATCATCCCTCCCCTCCTCTGCACACTAGACTCCGTCATCCCTCCCCTCCTCTGCACACTAGACTCCGTCATCCCTCCCCTCCTCTGCACACTAGAGTCC